TTCTCCAGCAGAGCATCTGGTGGATTCGAACCGTGCACCTCTGGGATTGCAGTGCAGCTTCTTGCCACTAGGCCACCAGAGCTCCGCCATTCTTAGTTGTATGGAACCTTCTAGCTTTATTTCTTCCAAGACCAATTTACTATCATTCAAATGAGCTAATTCTTCTCCTTTTCTTTTTCATTATTCAGCTGTCACATGCATTGAGGTGACTACTATGGCTTGGGTCAGACTAGTAGCAACAATTTTACTCTAAGGAGGAAAAAACTACAGCTCCCAGAAGGCTATGGGTCAGTGACTTGTATATAGGGCTGCTGGGCTGTGCACCGTGGAAGCTAATGGGTAGTTTAATTCAACTCAGGTCGTCGCCATAGAGGCAGAGATAGCTAGCTCATAACTGACCCTTCAGATTTCTGAGACTGTAAATCACACAGGAAGTGGACTTATGTCATCAGAGCTCCCTAATGGGAAGTATAATATCTTTGTTACTAATTTCAGAAATGTTAAAATTCTCTAATTGGCTACTATAGATATTGGTCTTTTGAAAAAGGATAATGGTGAGCTCTGGTGGCCTAGTGGCAAGAAGCTGCACTGCAATCCCAGAGATGTGAGGTTCGAATCCACCAGATGCTCTGCTGAAGAAGGAGGGACAATCTCCTCCTGTACCAGTCAGATCTGATTTGACGGTACACACATTAAAAAAAGGCGGGGGGATAATGATCTAAGATATGTTGTTTTCTGAGAAAAAAAATGGTTGGGATCACGCATAGCATCATTTGTGTTCAGTGTGTTTACATTGAGAACTATACTTCCCAGAAGGCAATTATAACCCTGGAGTTTTGCCCCATGTGCTGATAGGAATTGTAGTTTTTCATTGTTGTCCTCTTGCATTTATGAAGCCAAGAACTGGTTGAATTTTTTTTGTGTGCTGAAACCCAGGAACGCTGGTTGAACTTTTGAAAGGGGCCTGAATATGGATAGACAGCATGTCCTGGGAGAAGCATAGTTTTGGGGATATTTGATCATTCCCAGCTCAGGATGGGCTAGATAAGACCAAAGAGCTACAACTCCCAGAAGTCCTGATGTGCATCTCCTCCTTGTCTCGGTGCCCTTTTGCAAGGACTGGTGGGAGTTGTAGTTTAGCAAGAAGGCATTTGGTGGCAGGGTAAATGGGTCACCAAGAGATCTCACCAAAAAGCTAGTAAAAGGAAAGACATTGCAAGAGAGGCCTTTATTAAATTATTAAATCCATCCATTTCAATCAAATTCCAATTTATTCTGGATGAACAAATGATGGAATGAACCATGGGACCATGTCTCCCAAATCCCAGATATTGTGACCCCCAACGGACTGAATGTGAAGAAATTCTCTGCCATGCATGAGTTCCAGAACCTTCATGCCCAGAGCAAGGCTCGAATCCAAGAATTTGTGCGGGGCCATTTTTATGGGTACGTAGGCCAGAGACCTAGGTCCTGAGAAAGGGGGTGGCTGAGAACTCACTTTCCCAGGGTCTGAGGGAGGAGAGGCCTGGGGGGCTGAGCCTCCTGGGCTCCTGAGCGACAGGTAACAGGGCTGAGTGTTAAAGGAAAGCTCCATTTTGAGAGAAAAGGGTTGCAACCCCGGGAGACTCCTGGCGAGGCCTCCGCATTGTCTAAGATGCTCTTTGCCCCGGTGCCTTCTGGGATTTGTGGGTAGAAGGGGAGGATGCTGGGTCTACCTCTGTCTTACCTCTTCTCCAGGCACCTGGACTTCAACTTGGACAAGACCTTGTACTTCTTCATCGCCGGTCGCTATGAGTTCTCCAACAAAGGGGCTGATGTCTTCCTCGAGGCCTTGGCCAGGCTCAACTATCTGCTCAGAGTAAGACTTGGCCTCCAGGAGGCAAAGAAAATTGCTACCTTACAGGGAGCAGAGTCGTCCCCCCATCCCCAGGGAGGGTGCGACAGGAGGTCATGAATTGTCTCCGTTCTGAGGGATGAGAATCAGGATGGGCCCAAAGCGGGTCCTCTGAGGTGGACATCGGCCTAGTGACACAGGGTGGTCTGCTCTGGCTCAAAAGTTCACATCAAGGGGAGCTCTGGTGGCCTAGTGGCAAGGAGCTGCAACTACAATCCCAGAGGCACATGGTTTGAATCCACCAGATGCTCTGCCGGGGAAGGAGGGACAATCTCCTCCTGTACCAGTCAGATCTGATTTGACGGTACACACACACACAAATAATTAAAAAAAAAAAGTTCACATCACTTTGCCCCTGTTTTCTCTGCGGGACATTTACTCACTCATTGGCGTCCTCGGCCAAACCTCTGTGTGAAGGTCCTTTTTTCCTGTCCATCTTGTCAATCTCTCAGTGGATCTGCTGATAAATCACTGTTTGTTATTGCTGGTAATGCAGGATTGGTAACAGTGTTCACTGTGACTCTCAGACACTCTCTAACATGTATTTTCTCTTTCTCTAATATAATCCCTTAAAGCTTGGAACCCGAGGGAGGGTTTCCCTGAGTCAGAACCGACTCGGGGGTGTGGCTTTGGCTTTGGGATATCTTCCTGGTTAATCCCACATTGCAAGATATTTCTCGGCTTCTTCATTATTCTGTTAGACTGTGTAATATTTTTTTTTGAGAGCAAGAGAAAAACTGAAGTTTATTAGATGTTTATAACAGACTGTATCACTGTGTGGTATTCTACGTGGGTGGGTGGGTGCTGTACACTGGTGGTTGTTTCTTTTTTTTTTTTTCTGTTGTGATCACAATCCTGACTCTTACCTTCAAGAATTTAGACAATTCCTTGCGCTTGATTAAGGGGGTGCAGAAACCAAGAGAGCTAGGAAGAGAATCCCACAGGGTGGAGGGTGTCAGAAGACCCCGAAAGACGTTAGAGTCCCAGTGCGGATAGTAACGTTGTCCCGCAATTCTCCTCTCTAGAAAGGGGCCCAGCTGGGGACGGAGGGGGTCGGTGATAGCTCCTTGCTCTCCCCTTCCGCCTAGGTGAATGGCAGCGAGCAGACAGTGGTCACCTTCTTCATCATGCCGGCTCGAACCAACAACTTCAACGTGGAGACCCTCAAGGGCCAAGCCGTCCGCAAGCAGCTGTGGTCAGTAGCCCTCAGCTCTGGGTCCCCGCCCGTCTCACCCTCAGTTGTGTATTTTGGGTCCAGTGTCCCATTCATTTCTACAGAGGCACCACCTTGGCGGGAGTGTGGGAGGGGGAGAGTGGGGAAGGAGTCAGGCACAAGTCACAGCTGGGCCACGTGTGACAGCTGAGTGAGGTCCCTGATTGGAAAGTAGGGAGATTCCACGGAAGGGCACTAACCTGCAGAGGCTGTGTGACTCTTCGCAAACCACAAAGCCCCGCCCCGCGCCATCCTCGATCTCCGCTGTTTACGAGCCCTTTGCTGCAGCCGCTGTATTGATCCATTTGGATGGAGTGGCTTTGTTCATTTTGCTGACTTCCTGCGTGGCCACGTCTGGTGTCATCCTTCAGGGACTGGTCAACCAGCCTTACGCAGGTGTACAGACCTCTTCTTGAATCCTTCTTTGCTTTTTTAATAAAGTGGGCCTCAGCCTCCCCTCCTCACCACCAGGCTCAAGACAGGCTGACATTTCTGGAGGCTTGTGGTGTTCAGGCACCCTGCCCTTTCTCTCCGCCTCCTTGGTTCCTCTCCACCGGCCTCTGAGGTCAATCCTAATTTTATCCCCATCTTAACGTCTGAGTCACTGAAGTCAGAGAGGGACAACCACCGACTCTGAGCCACACAGCTGATGCTAGGACAGAGGGACCCAGGCCGTCCAGTGTCTGGGTGGTGGGTGTTGGCCTGTCCTCTGGGCCACTGCTTCCCCTCTCAGGCCTCAGTTTCCCCTCAGAGCTGGTATTTGGTTGACGCCCTCGCTCTTCTCCTTCCAGGGACACTGCCAACGCCGTGAAGGAGAAGTTCGGGCGGAAGCTGTACGAGTCTTTGCTGGTGTGAGTGCATCACCCTCAGCCCTGCACCCACCCCATCCTTCTCATCACCCCTTTCCAAGATGTATTTCTCTACGTGCCCTGCAGGGGGAGCCTCCCGGACATGAACAAGATGCTGGACAAAGAGGACTTCACCATGATGAAGAGAGCCATCTTTGCCACACAGGTATCATTTGGCCCACTGACCCTTCAGGTGGCAATTCTCAGAAGTCTAAGAGGCAGCTTGACTTGCTAGTGTTGCCCCCCAGAGGCTTCTGGGAATTTAATGCATAGTTCCGATGGGAGAGACCATAGTGATGTTCCTAGGAAGATGTAAACTTACTGCAGTTGACTTTGCAATTTCCAGCAGCTCTCAGCCCTATTTTGCTGTGGTTTTTTGAGCCATGGACTTTGCTAGGGATTTCTGGTTTCTTTGAGGCCTATGAAGTAGGGGGGTTTATAAGACTGAGATCATGGGAGCTCTGGTGGCCTAGTGGCAGGATGCTGCACTGTAATCCCAGAGGTGTGTGGTTTGAATGCACCAGACGCTCTGATGGAGAAGGAGGGGCTATCTCCTCCTGTACCAGTCAGATTTGATTTGACGGTACATACAAAATAATAAAATTTAAAAAAAAAAAGAGAGAGATCATAAAGAACCTAATTATCAAGAGGAGAGCTGAAATTTTAAGTAAACTACAACTCCCAGCAGGCTCAGAGACTTCCTACCATGTTGGCTGGCTTGAGCCACATGGAATGCTGGGAGTTGTAGTTCCTTCAGGATTCTTTTCAGTGATTGGCTTGAAAAGGACAGTTGTAATTCCCAGCTGTCACTGAGATCTATTAACATTGTAGCTTTGCCTCAAAGATGACTTTGTATACTCATTTCTTTTAGGAAGGTGGGTGGGCAAGGAACTGAGGAAAATAATAATAAAGTAACTTTAGGGAGAAAGGGGAGGAGAAAGCTGCAGCTCCCAGCAACCTTTGTCCCTTATCTGTTTCCTGATGCCCACCCCCCATATTCTCCCACAGCGGCAGTCCTTCCCCCCTGTATGCACCCACAATATGCTGGATGACTCGTCAGATCCCATTCTCACCACCATCCGCCGAATAGGCCTTTTCAATAGCAGTGCCGACAGGGTCAAGGTAAGATCTCTGGCCAGCGGCGAGTTGGAATTACTCAGCGTGGGGATAGTTTACCCGAGCCTCAAACTCTCCATCAGCATAGTTTCTCAAAAGCCTTATCATGTTTCAAAAAGAACCCTGGCCCAAGGGTCAAGAGTTGGTCTTTGTTTATCTGGAACAACAGCAGAAGAAAGAAAATCAGGAAGAGGAGGAGGAAATGGAATGAGTGGCCACGAGTCTCCTTTACCATGAGACCAGAAGATCTAGATGGGGCCCAGCTACCATTAATGAACATTTCAGAGGGAAGATTCTCTAAAATCACCATCAAAAGGGAGGGGAATGCGGAACAGAATTTCAAAATTTTATAGACTTTTATAGTCTTTCTAGAGTTATGGAGGCTGGATGAATTCCAGAAACTAAGATAATCTTTAAACTTTAAGGCAAAAATAACCCTTAAAATCAAACAGAAGTTTGATTTAACTAGTAAAGAATGTCTGCTTTGAGCATTTGCTCTTTCCAAGATCTATCTCTGATCTGTGAGCCAGTTTTCAGCCAACTAATGACACAACCCTGCTTGCTGAAACTGAGGAGAACCTGAAGCACTTGCTGCAGAAGGTCCAAGACTGCAGCCTTCAGTCTGGATTGAGGCTCAACATCAAGAAAACAAAGATTCTCACCACTGGGCCAATTGGCAGCATCATGATAGATAGTGAAGAGATTGAGATTGTTTACAGCTTCCGTTTGTTTGGCTCTACAGTCAACACTCTTGGTACCAGCAGCCAGGAAATTTTAAAAGATGAATTGCATTGGGAAAGTCTGCTGTCAGAGGCCTCTCCAAGGTACTGAAGAACAACGATGTCAGTCTGGAGACTAAGGTGTGCCTGATACAGGCCATGGTTTTTCCAATTACTTGCTATGATTCAGAGAGCTGGACAATGACTAGGGATGATAGAAGGAGAGTTGATGCCTTTGAGCTGTGGTGTTGGAGAAGAGTAGTGAATATACCATGGACTGCTAGGAGAACAAACAAGTTCATCCCAGAGAGGGTGAAGCCAGGCTGCTCCTTGGAGGCAAGAATTCTGAAGCTTCGTATGACATACTTTGGACATATTACAAGGTGGGATCAGTCCTTGGAGAGGAATATCATGCTTAGGAGCGTGGACGGACAATGCAGGAGAGGAAGACCCTCGATTAGATGGATTGATTCAGTGACTGGAGTAATGGGGCATGTCAGGAACAATAAGATTGGCACGGGATAGAGCAGGTTTCAGGGCTGTTGTACATAGGGTTGCTATGAGTCACAGGCGACTTGACAGCACATAACAACAACTATATTCTTCAGATCAATAACACTAGAAAGGTATGCATCCTTCTGAAAAATCAACATGATTAGCTCAAAGAGACAGTGTTTTTCCAGAGAGAAAACTCAGAATGCAGGAAGGAATAAGAAAGAAGGATGAAGGGAGATGGGAAACACAGGGAGGAATAGGGTAGAAACCATTATAATGTGGGGATTGCCATGGAAATATGTGTGAGTTGTTGAATGGAAATCCAATTTGCTCTGTAAACTTTTACTTAAATCACTAAGAAAAGGTCTATTGATCAGGGATCAAACTGACAAAATCCTAGGAAGCAGGGAGCGCACGTGAATGGGGGACAAGCAGCTCAGAAAAGGGGTGAATAGTTTGATAATTTGAAGAATAGAATCATTGTCACTTCATCATACACATGTTATACTTGTGTAAATTTATTTTGCTGAGTGTATTCTCAACACAAAATAATCTGTGCCCAGCGGCTGGCTGACTGTGTGGATTTAGACAAAGTGTTTCACCTTCTCTGAGCTGCTCTGCGGTCACCGGGCGCAGGTGCACCGGGTGCTGAGACTGAACTCTTCTTTTTCCCCCCCCGTCAGGTGATTTTCCACCCAGAGTTCCTCTCCTCCACCAGCCCGCTGCTGCCCGTGGACTATGAGGAGTTTGTCCGAGGCTGCCACCTAGGGGTTTTCCCCTCTTACTACGAGCCTTGGGGTTATACACCAGGTAAGTGGGGACTTGTGGAAAGACATGATCTGGAGACAGACAAAAGGCTCGCTCGTCCTCCTCGATACCAGGCTCCTTTCCCCTCATGGCACAAGCAGTTACAAGCTTGGGTATTGTATTAATTGGAAAAAGGTGGACATTTCAAACCCAGTACTGGCCCCACTGAGTCGTGGTGGCTTAGCGTGTAATAAGTCGAGTTGCTATCCAAATGCTCCCCGGTTCGAAGGCACCAGCCACCCTGGAGGAAACAGGGATGGTGTCCTGCAAAGATTTGCAGCCTCAGGAGCTCTGGTGGCCTAGTGGCAAGAAGCTGCACTGCAATCCCAGAGGTACACAGTTCGAATCCACCAGATGCTCTGCCGGAGGAGGGGCAATCTCCTCCTGTACCAGTCAGATCTGATTTGATGGCACACACACAAAGAATAATAAAATGTATTAAAAAAAAAAGATTTGCAGCCTCAAAGCACAATAGAAGGTCCCTAACTCAGAACCAACTCGATGACAGTTAATTTGTTAAGGGTTTTTTTTTTAATTATTTTTTTTTATTAGAGTGAAGTAAGATCCTTCATAGACATTTTGTTTTATGCTACAAATTGCCACTGACTAATGTATGTAGTAGGGAATTCTGGTAGCGGACTTACTCCCTTGGGATTTTCTCTGCTAGCCCAAAGGTGAAGAGATTGAGATTGTTCACAGTTTTAGTTTGCTTGGCTCCACAATCAACATTCTTGGCACCAGCAGCCAGGAAACTAAAATACGTATTGCCATGGGAAAGTCTGCTATTACTGACCTCTCTAAAGTACTCAAGAGCAACGATGTCTCTCTGGAGACCAAGGTGCGTCTGATACAGGCCATGGTCTTTGCAATTATTTGTTATGCATCAGAGAGCTGGACAATGACCAAGGAGGATAGAAGGAGAATTGATGCTTTTGAGCTTTGGTGTTGGAGAAGAGTGCTGAAGGTGCCATGGACTGCTAAGAGAACAAACAGATTCATCCTGGAGAGGGTTAAATCAGGCTGCTCCTTGGAGGCAAGGATTCTGATATACTTTGGTCATGTTGTAAGGAGAGACCGGTCCTTGGAGAGGGACATCATGCTTGGGAGGGTGGAGGGACAGAGAAGGAGGGGAAGACCCTCCATGAGGTGGATTGATTCAGTGACTGGGGTAATCGGGATGAGTGTGTCGGAGGCAATGAGATTGGCACAGGACAGAGTGGAGTTTAGAGCTGTTGTACATAGGGTCGCTATGAGTCGCAAGCGACTCAACGGCACATAACAACAACAAGCCCAAAGGTGATGCCTCTCTGGGAGTTTAAGTCTACCAGTGGCTCCTCATATAAAAATGGACAGTCTTCTTCCTTCGTGACTTACAGCCTTGGAAAATTCACTGGGAGTGTTTCCAACTCAACAGCAAGTTGTGAGATTTTCTAATGCAATTAATGAATTTCAATTCACAGTAATGACTTTGGTCTGTATGAGGAAGAAAGAGAAAGAAATACCTGGCAAATATCTGCTCTTGTAAAAATTAAACTCCTCAGGGAGCTCTGGTGGCCTAGTGGCAAGAAGCTGCATTGCAATCCCAGAGGTAAGCGGTTTGAATCCACCAGATGCTCTGCTGGAGAAGGAGGGGTAATCTCCTCCTGTACCAGTCAGATACGATTTGATGGTACATACACACAAAATAATAATAATAATAATAATAAAAATTAAACTCCTCATGTAGTTGTTGGTGGTGGTGGTCTTTGAATCAAGCACGACTCATAGTGACCCTGTGAACAAAAGGCCTGAAGCCCCTCTACAAGCATCGACATCTATCAATGTTCATAGAGTTTCCGGAGGCATCTTATTTAGGAAGTGGCTGCCACTCCTGCTTCCAAACCTGTCACAATATGTTATCGCTGTTATGTGCCATTGGGTCGTCTGTGATGGACAGTGACCCTATATACTGCAGCTCTGAACCCTTCCCTGTCCTGAGCCAGTCTCACGAATCAAATTATCATGGTGGAGTTCATTCTCTTAGCAGTCCTAGAGGATGGAGCAGAACTTCCTCGGAGGGTTTGTCCGAGGCTCTCGTCTCTCCACAAGCAGTCTCCCCACAGAGTGACTGAAGGGTTCAAACTGCTAACCTTCTGGTTAAGAGAAAAATGCTTCACACCTGTGCCTACTCCACAGAAAGATTAAACGAAGCGCAGATATTCCTATCAACACACCCCAGAAAACCATCATCCGGGGTCCTTGTGAACTGAAGATAGGAATTGTTGAATCTGTTTTCTCTGAAGTAAACTCTCACTTCAAGCGCGAGAACAAGTTTAAAAACAAAGCAGTCAAATCAAGTCTAAAGAGCTCTCTTTACAGGAGCAAACTGACTATGTGAACTTGAAGGATCGGATAAAACTTTAAGGGCCTTAAGTGAGTTTGTGTGAACAGGGGAGGGACAGCTGTGAAACGGAGGGTGAGAATGGTTGTACAGTTCAAAGAAAGTCATCAACGTCACTGACTTGTACACAGAGGAATTGCTGAGCTTGTGGTAATTTCAGTGATATATGACTGACTCACAAAATTGGGTCATCCGTTTGGCTACACCGGCATTTCCTACACAAGGTGACGTTTAATAAGGGCTGACTGTCATTGTCAAGTGAATGTCATGGTCTCTGGCTGATTTCTCCCTCCCCAGATACACTTAACTGTTTGAACGTCCTGCCCCAGGAGTTCCTAAGCAGTGCAAACAGTTAAGCATTCCACTCTTTGTGAAAAGGTTGGTGGTTCAAACACGCCCAGAGACACCTCGAAAGACGGCCTGGCCATCTGCTTCTGAAAGGCCACATACGAGCCTCTGCTGGCCGACGGGTGGTGGCTGTGTTTGAACTACACTCGTCAGGCCTTGAACCCAGGTCTCTCACACGGAAAACAAAAATCCTTCCACTGCAGCACCTGTGCCAATGTTTGTTGCTGCTGTTGTTTGTTGCCTTTAAGTTGATTCCATCTCAAGGTGCCCTCTTGTGTGCAGAGTAGAAAAGCCTCCTGGGAGTCAGTCTATCCTGACCCTTTCAGACTCCGTTATGAACGTGTAATAAACATCAGTATCTTTCTTTAAGAAACCAAAACTTCATGGGTTTTTTAAGACCATGTGACCTTTCATAAGCACATGGCCAGACTGATCTGTCAGGTTCCTTAATTTATTAGTACAGAAACCTAACAAGTCTTTCCAACTCGTTTTAGGAGTTTTACCAGTTTCAGTTTGGTGGTGGGTAACAGTGGTGCACGGGTTTTGCGTGGCGGCTGACCACATATGTTCCCCACCAGGCCTGATAACATTTAATACCTCGTATCACAGCTAACAGAGCTATTAGTAATCTTTATCTTAGGATGAGTATAAATTCTTTGAACCAACCTGCATGGTTCTGTAAAGATTTCAGTGAGGCGCAGTAGGTGCTCTGAAATAGTATTTAATAATAATAATAATAACAACTTCATCTTACCTCTTATCAGAACAGATTATAAAGCCACAATAACTAAAACAGTAACCAAGAAAATAAAACTGACTGCCATCAAGCAGGTTCTGACTCAGGTTTCTGACTGTCGGGTTTCCAGTATGATGAAATCTTTACAGGAAGAGGCTGCCCAGATTTCTCTAGTGGAGCAGCTAATGGGTTCGAACCACTGACCTTCACCTTAGAAGCCCAATGCTTAACATATTGGTGCCACGCGTGCTTAAAACAGCATGTTGATATTCTGCACCACTGAGTGGGAACTGACTCATAGCTGACTCTTCCAGTGGGTTTTCAGAGACTATAAGTATTTATTATTACTATTATTATTATTATTATTATTATTT